AAAAATCACAAACTCATTTTGGAGCATCAGTTTTAAAAAAGAGCAGCCAAGTCCAGTCTTTCCAAAGTGCCATTTCAGTATCAGTACGGGGGTGGATGTCACTGGCAAGGGAGACTTCATGACAAACAACCTTTTGAACAAGCCATCCTCAGCTACCCCAACAACAAGCTGTGGGTTCTACGTGTGGCCTGTGCACAAATGAAAAACTTTTAGATCGTCTATGCTGGATTCACATGACATGGTAAATACTACTAACATTCATAAGCCAATGTGCTGGATTCACACATCATGGTAAGCAGCACTAACATTCATAAGCCAGTGCAGCATGCCATGCAGTGTTTACATGATGCTCAGCTTTCATGCAGTGAGAGGCTGCAGAAGCCAGCGCTCCTCACTGCATATCCCTGCGTGTTTAGGGATGCGTCTCTACCATTCACACTTTATCTTTTTCTCAGAGGAATCACAAATGCAGATCCAGCAAATACAACTGCTACATAACTTTGAAGTGCTCTTAAAAAAATAATGGTTCCTTCTGAGTATATAAGCTGTAATCTGTACATGGACTTTCCAAAGCTGAGGTCTCACAGCACATTGGAAGCAAGTCCTACTAATAGGGCTTCCTCTTGAGTAAGTGTGTGTATATTGCAGTGCTCTCAGAACTGAATATCTGTTTAAAATCATGCATTTCTAGCTTTTAAATTAACGTGCAATATTTTATTTCAGCTGGAGGAGCTGTATAAATCATAAAGAAATGGGCAGAGAAATACAGACTTCCGGACGATCTTCCAGACCCTAATTCCCAGTGTTATTTCTCTCTCTCTCTCTCCTCACTAAGATTTTGTAAATACTATATTTTACTTGATGAAAAACTGAAAAGTGAAGAACCATCTTTCAAAGCTAGAGATAATGTAATCACAGTCAACTACACAACAGTTCTTCACTGATATAAAAAGTTTCTAACTCACATTTTTATGTATATGCAGGGGAAATGGAATGTGGTTTGTTATAGTGGTGGTTGTTTTGTAAAATGATTTGTCACTAATGATCAGAATCTCAACAAATCTTTGCAATGGCATCATGTTAAATATTGTAAGCTGTAACTTTTCACTCAGTCTTTACAAATAACTTGGCTGAGGCTATTTTCAGGATCGTAACATTTTAAGCCGCAGGTTGCCAATTCAATAAAGGCACAATCCTATGGACTCCTGAGGTGCCATAGAATTTTTCAGAGTCCCTACTCTGAGGTCCTGTGGTCTTGGTACTGGGACTCCAAAGGCCACACTTCCTTCTTGTGCCCCTCACTGCCAGTGTGGAAAGAACCATGCTGGACACCTCTCTAGGTTTAGAACTGGGATTTGGAGAGGGCAAAAAGAGGCTTGGTGGGAGCAGGGAGAGTAGGAGACGGAGGCTGAGGGCTTATCTCAGTTCCTGTTGGCACAACAGCTTCCTTCCCTTCCCAGTGCATTATCTGGACAGCCACAAAGAGCCACCTGGATAACACACATGGTGCAAGGTGCAGCAGTGGCAGGTACTGCGATGCCTCATTCCATGCACAGGATGCACATAAGCCTCCAAGTATGGGGCTCGAGCGCAGCAAGGGAGAGGCATAGGATATCAGTCTGGGAAAAGATGGAATTCTGGGTATGTGAAGAGCTGCCTTCTTCCATAAAATTATACTGGTGTGCTCAGCAATTAAGGCCCTGGTTTCAGTGCCTTTTCCTACAGACTAGGTGGATGGCCACATGGGTAACAGAGCTGCCTTAGTTGTGACATCTTCACTATGGATTATTGATCCCAGACTGTCTTGTCTGCCTGTTGCCTTCACTGTTATCTCTCAGTTCTCTGCTGGAGGCCATTTTCTTTTCCTCTGTTCTAAGTGAAACTTCATTTTTAGATCTGTTTTAGTTGTTAATGTTAACACTTTGATTTAATTACTTGTAATCTGTTAATTTGTTTCTCTGGGTTTTTTTTCCCTTTTTCTCATGGGGGATTGACTTTATATGGAAAGGTAGGGAAGAACATGATTTAAATAGATGCACTGATACACTCAATTGAAAGAAATGGGATTCACTTCTAAGCAATTATGGTAAACTAACCACATGAATCTAAATACACAAACAGTGCATATTCCTGCTTGGATTCAGCCTTCTAAGAGAAAAAAGTGTATTTGCTCATACAGCATTAAAAACAGCTAACTTTGGAGATAGCCTTCATTAGGTGTCCTGCTTTGGGGTGCCTGGCTGAACTGTGTGGTAGGCTCCCTGTTTCGCTAGCTGGACTACTGTCAAAGGTAAACATGGCCAAGTGCCTGCTGAGGGCCTACATTCCAGATGGGACCCACAACAAGAGACCCCTGGATCTGCATCTCCTCTCCACCATTGCAACCTGCTTGTTCACCAGCCTATCGCTCTGGTTCAGACCATGGCGGTAAGGAGAAGCAGCAGCAACAGCAGCTGACGTCCAGTTGCTCAATGGCTCTCTGCCTATCAGGCAAGTAAGTGGAAGAGAGGATGACAGAGAGGATGATGCACAAGAACAGCTGGTGGCAATGGTGAAATCATGCCTGAAGGCCATCAAAACCTTGGAGCTGGCCCTGTTTGGTGGCGAGGTCATCAGATAGTTGAGGAATGTACACAGCCTTCAGTCATGCCCAGAGATTCCTGGATTAGGGTTACAGCACTTAAAAGGAGTGGGTGGGAATATATTGTGATTATAGACACATGACCAGTCTTTGAAGCATGAAATGAAGAATTCTGCCCCCCCCACATTTTTTATTCCTTTCAAAAACATTTATTAGTGTCATATTTATTAGTATATTAGTTATACACTTGTGCAGAATTTATGGGAGAAACAAGATTTTGATCATTTCATTTCTGTTATAAATTGCATTTGAATAATTGGAATGGACAAACAGCATATTGATCTGTTGCACAGTAAAACAAACTTGAAAAGCTCCAATTGTGGTTTGTTTGTTCTGGTCTTTAGGTATCTTTCAAAGCATGTGTCAGTCCACTGTTGTTTTTAGAGTGTGTTATCTACCCCAGATTCTAAAGAAATGGAACAGTGGGGAATATTTATCCCATTTATGGAATATTTACCCCCCCTCAAAAAAAACACACAGCCATCAATGTGTTCTCCAAAGGATCCTGAGAAATTTAGAACCTGTGTAATAATTAATTAACAAATTCATTTATCCATAAATATATATAAAGTGAGTATTAGGTGGAAGAACACAGCTTAAAAATTCTACATTCTCACCTCAGAGTCCTAAAAAATACTCCATTCTTTTCAGCTGCTGTTACTTCATACAGACCCCCAAACTCATCTCAACCCCTCTCTTTTTTGCCCCCCCCATCTGTCTTATTCTTCAAGTCAAACCTACAATTCCTTATTTTCTTTTCTTTTTTTCACCCAGAATCCTAGATTATATCACCCTTAGCTGGGAGGATGGAAATATGTCTCCTGGCTCCTTCTCTGTGTCATAAAAATACCTTGGCAATTCCCATTATTTTGCCAACTTCTAGAATCTGGTCAGTTATTGTCTGAAGGCAAACCCACAAAGATTCTTCCATTCCTAACAATATTGGCAGCTACAAATATAGGCCTGCAGCTGCCATGCTTGGAATGGCATGCTGCATTATGTCTTAGGGCTAAGTTGGAGCTAAGCTGGAAGATCCATGATCACACTTCCCCTCATCTTTTCGTTTAGCTAAAAGCAGCTAAAATGTATGTTCTGTCCAGATGGAATAGAAGAGGGCATTAGACCTTGAAAGAAGTATTTTACCCTTCTCCTCATGCCATTTTGCAGATCAAAGCCACACCGGAAAGCACAGGCCCAATCCATGTTATTTTATTGCCCAAGGCAAAGGACAAAACAATCACACCCTCATTCTATGTGCCGGAGCTGATCCAATTGGCAGCTGGATCTCTCTTCAGTCATGGAAACAAGTCAGGATCCTTCTCTACCCCTGAGGACAGCACTAGCTTAGGAGTCATAAAGCAGGTTGCATGGCGCGCCTGTCCTCCATCAGCTCCCTACTGCTCAAGACTCCTTTAGCATCTGCCACCTGAAGGGCCTGTTTCATTCTGCCCATCCTTAGGGCATGGGACATGCGCGCGCACACACACACACAGGCACCCAATCCAGTGTGCTCTGATCCCACAGCTTCTTTTAAGCACAGACAAACACATCTGGCGATCTGTTCAGGATCTTTCCTCACCCCACCCACAAATTTCATTTGTCTCCTTAATATGTTGTTACCATCCTCCACTGTGTCCTCCTGGATAGGCTGCATGTTGGAACTACCAGGCGGCACTACTTTGGCTCCTATTGAATTGCTGATTCCAGAAGGTGGTGCAGGGGGTTCATTGCTCTCTCCTTGGCAATGACGAGGTTCCCTGAGGCTCTATTATATCTCCTATAGTCTTCAAAATGTACATAAAACATTTGGGGGAGGTTACCCGGGGTAGGGACATAAGTGTCACTAACAGGAAAATGATTCCTAGCCTTGTTTTGCCTTAGCAAGCCAAGGTGTTGTAGTGGGCATCCTGGGTGTGGTCATGGACTGGGTAAGGGCCAGTAAATTAAGATTCAGTCCTGATAAGATGCAGGTACTATTTCTGAGTGGTTCCTCAGCCTGCTAAGTTATGTTTACCCTGTTCTGGAGCAGGTCACATTACCCTAAACTTTAGGCACAGAACCCCTTTTATCAGCTGAGGCTGACATACCAGCTACAACCTTATCAGGACAGAGATAGCTTAGCTACAGTTATCTATGCTCTAAGAGCTTCCTATTTGAATCACTGCCATGCCTTGTCTTTCAGCATGACCTGGAAACATCAGCTGCTTCAAAACAGGACAGCACACATGTTAGTGGACACTGCACAATATGATTGTGTTATGCCAGTACTTTATGATCTGCACTGGGTACCAGCCCATTTCCAGAGATGCAAAGCCCTAAAATGCTTATACCTAAAGGATGGTCTTCTTCCATATTTACCTGCTCAAGCCCTAGGATCATGTTCAGAAAGAAGCCCTTCTGAGAGTGCCCCTGAAAGAGGACATTTCCCCCTCAAGGCTCCCCCGTTTGTGGAATGACTCCATTGTTGTGCTTTTGATGCTAGGTAACCACCTTTTTGCTTTTCCAGGCTTTTTAGCTTTTAAGTTAAAAAGGTTTCTATGCATTTTTCAGTCTCCGAACAGCTGGCTTTTATCTTGATTCTGAGTTTAGTTTTACTCTGGTTTCATTATTTTAAACTTACATGTGTGGTTTTGTATTATGTTTTACTATGCTATTCTATTTTACAGTGTTGGGGGTTGGGATTGGGCAGGTAATCTGCCCAAAGGGTTTTGACTAATGGGCCATATACAAGCAAATACATGATTTTATTGAATTATAATAAACTAAAATTGTGTATTTATTTTTGTGCATGTGTTTCCACCGTTGCCCTCCAGATACAGCCACTGTATGGGAGTTGCACGTAGTTCAAGACACCTGGGAGAGGGGTTGTCAGGTTGGGCAAGGCAAAACTCTGGAGGGATGGGAGTGGTGCGGTAAGATTCGGGTATCAGGGTTCTAGTCCCAGGTGTGGCATGAAACTCACTGGGGGACTAGGGGCCAGTCATGCACTACAGCCTAACTTACCTCACAGGGTTGGTGAGAGGATAAATCGAGAGAATTATGTAAACCTCCGTAGGTTCCTTGCAGGAAAAAGCGTGCGATATAAATCAATCAATCAACTCCAGCAACGTGGCAACAAGGCATTGCCCGGAGAGGCAACCGTGGGCACCCTCAGTGATGATTTCCGGAGACCGGTTCCAGAAAAGAGGGCCATTCTGACGAACGAGCGCCAGCGGAACGAGGAGGCTTCAGACAGCGCCAGCGGGTCCCCGGCCTCGGGATGCGGCGCCGCGTCCCTCCCGCGGCAGCTGCAGGCACGCCGCGCGGCGGGCGCGTTCCCGGCCGAGGGGCGTCTGAGCGGCGCTGGCGGGGGCGGAGCCGCCGCCCGGCCAATGAGCGGGACGCCTCGCTGCTCTCCGGGCTGGCCCGGCGCAGACCGCCCCAGCCCGTCGGATGGCTGTGGCGGCGGCGAGAGCGAGCTGGCTCGGCGGCACATGGAGCGCCAAGGGCGGCTGGAGGACTCGCGGAGGGCGCAGCGGCAGCGGAGCCTCGCCTTCCGACCTCGCGTCGCCCCGTAAGCCCCCTGCCTGGTCCGTAGCCGCCGCCGACATGCAGCCGTGAGAAAGCAGCGAGGCTCCGTTGGCAGCGGAGAGAGCGTGCCCGGTGCGTCCTGCGGCTCTGCCCTTGCAGTGGGTGGGGAGCTGCGGCGCAGCACGGGCAGGGCGGGAGAGGCAGGCACGGCTCGATGCAGGGGACGGCTGCTCCCTGCTGACAGCGCTATCCCCTGGGGGAGCCTCTGGGGGCTCACGTGTCCCCTGGGCCCGGCGGAGGGTTAATGCCCGCTGTGGCAGCCTCCCCAGCAAAACGCAGAGAGAGGAGCCCCGGGGGGACCTTGCAAACGAAGCCTGGACCCGCGATGCCCTCCTCCGAAGGACTCGCCGCGGAGTTCCGCGACACCGGCTCCCGTGCACGGGCGCGCGGATGGCGCCCGAACGCCGCAGTCCCAATGTCACTTAGCAGAGAGAGGGAGAAGTGCTCCAGGGACTTAGTGCTGAGGAAGCATGCTTAAGGTTGCCCTGCGGAATTGTGGTGGCACCGGCTTCTGTGGATCGGTGCTTGGCCATCAGATGCAAGAAGTGGGTTCAGTCCACAAAAGCCCATGCCCGCATCTCTCTGGAAAGCCTGCCAGACAAGACTCATTTATCACGCAAAGGATCGTCAGTAGTCATCCTTTGCTTTTCGCTGGTAACCTCTCCTCTCTCTCTACTGCAAACAAACAGTAAATGCTGACAGCGATTAAAAGGTTAATATTTTGCTAGGGAATCGGAAGGAGAGAACATGAAACTACTTGTTGGGCCCTCTAGTTTTTTCAGGGAAGCAAATGGAAGGGTGTGTGCTTGTGCATATTTAAGCCTTGCTTTTGAAGGACTTGTGTTGAATGGTTATGGTTTCCTCTCATATTACCCCAAAGAAAAGGGAGGGGGTGGAAAGCTAATAAAGAACACTCACCACCTCTTTTCTTCTCCTTTCCCCCACCCTTTCTCCAAATACTTTGCCCAAAATGACTGTATATTTGCTCCTGAGGGCAAAGCCTTGAAGCAGCAAAGCTGGAGAATGTACGAATGTTTAACATCATTCACTTGTTGTCTTCAGCTGGAAAGAAAGAGGCTAATCCCTTCTGGTGCTTTGTTGACAGAGACCAGCCTACTGGCAGCAAGTAAGGAGTGGAGAAGTCTCCCCACCCCCAGCCTTTCTTCCAGTCTCTGCCGGCAGCTTATAGCCTGTCGGTTTTAGAGGATGCCTGGTAAGTGGATTTCCCCTGTCCTCTTCCTCCTCCTGTTCTTTGTTTTCTGATTTTTCCCTTTGGAAATGTCTTGACTTTTTAGGTGCAAGTTTTGTTTCTAATACCATGGGTGCATCAAGAAGGAAGGGAGAGGATGTATCTTACACATGGCACAAATATATCTTTGTTACAGGACTTACTTGCTGCCATTCCATGTTGCTTGCAGCCACATACAATGCTTACTTGGTTCAGCATATGAATAGTAGGATGTTTAAAAGCATTAGAGCAAATTCCTGTATCCAGTTACCTGGAAGCAAATCTCAATTAATTCACTGGGTCTTCCTTCCTAGTGACATATATAGAATTGCAGTGTTAGGCTTTTGTATCATTGTGAATCAGGCCCATACGTCTTTTCTCTAAAAAACCAAACCATACCACACCACACACAGAGAGAAAATTGTGTAGTTATTTGCTGTCCACCCATTTGTCATCACTTGAACAATTGACAGATTTAAAATTTCAGATGAGTCTCTGTTGTGTCTGTGTCTGGACTTTTGTTCTGGTCACAATTAATGCAAACATAGTTTGGAATCAGCAGAATCAGAAATCATTGCAGCCTAGCAGTCCTTCTTTATATGTTAAATGTCATTTGATGAGCAACACATCTGTTTTCAAAGCTAAACATTCAGTTGCAGTTGCTGGAAACATTTTGCAAATGCAACAGGGAAATTATATGTTTTACTTTGGTTCCTAATTTTAAGGTTTAATCCTCGCTTATCAAGGAAGAATTCATACCAAGCAAAATAGAATTAACTGTACTTCAGTTCTTCTCTTTGCTGGCTTGCTGTTCAGCAGTGCTATGCTATGATGTGAGAGGGCTGCAATTTAGGGAATGTCTCCTCTTTTTACAGGTCAGGCCTAAGATTTACTACACCAGATAAGGATTGGTATGAATGAAATGTGTCCACTGCTTAGCATGTGGAAACTGTATTACAATACTGACGTGTGCCCCAGTATTATTTCACTGAAAAGTAAACAGCAGCACTTACATCCCATCTTGCTGTGATGAAGAGCAACTTAATGCAGCTTGCATATAATATCAGCTGCAAACATTAAAACAAATGAGACCTCTGTTTCCTTTTCTCATTTAGTTCTCTCCTGGCTCATTTCCTATGCTGATGATGTTGCAATGGAGAACTGGGCCCTTCGGTGGAGAGGATCTGTCTGGGCCCCATCCTCTGTCTAGCTCTAGCCTTTCTGAGCCCTTCACTGCTGCTTTGATGGATATGGTTGCCTTTTTCTCAAATAGGCCAGAGTCAAATCTGCCACCCAGGTTGCACAAGGCATGGGCCCTAATAATAAAAATAAATGAGCATGAGTAAAAACAGCATTTTAAAAGTCACAGATTTAATTTGAAAGGCTCAACTAAAACATGCCCACCATTTTAAAAAAACATGAAAAGACCACTTTATAATCATTATCATAGCTTGTTGGTGCCCCTTGTTTTGGTGCCCCAAAAGGAAACCCAAATCTTCTAACAACAACATACAAAAGATAGTATTGAAATGTATCACAAGATAGTCTAGCAGGGAGTCACCACGGAATAGGCTGCTTCTCTCATCTTTATCAGCTGTAGTTTGTTGCTGAAGGGTTGATGAGGAGACCTTCGGACTGAGCTTAGATCTCAAGTTAATGTAGGAGGAGATGATTCCCAAGCTGCCTCATTATTCATATTCGTGACCATTACTAGCTATCGCTACCATTCTCAGCAATGCAGGCTTATCATTGAAAATCAGCCTTGTAGCTACCTGCTCTCAGACACACTTGCAATTGTACTTTAAAATTGTACTTTAAAGATGCTGTCCTTTTTTTCTCTTTCTTGATAGCAAAAGAGCTTATTGTAGAGTCCATACACTTTTACAGATACCATAGTTTGTCTCCTTAGCACAGGGGTGGGTAATATACAGTTGACACACTGATTGCGGTCCCACGGTTCCTGCCGCTGAATTTGCCATCCCAACTTGGTGTTGTGACAGTGCAGCATCAAAAAGGGCTGTTCTGAAAAAAAGGTTGAACTTTTTTTTCCTGCTGGGCTTTTTTGTTGCAGTTGAAACTTGGGGCTCCCAGTGGATTCTGGGGCCAGAAATTGCTCACTTCTGGTTAGCAGGATGGAGTTCTCTTTATACTGCATTGCATGACCATTCTGAATACTTGCTTTCAGTGACAGATCAGGCCTTTGTGACCCTTGCTACTAATGATGTTTACTGCCATGGAGCTCTGGTTCTTGGACAGTCCTTGCGGGACCACAGAACATCTAGAAGGTTGGCCGTAATAATTACACCTCAGGTCTCCAGTACAATGAGGTAAGGACACATTCCTAAATGCAATTAACATGATGATTACTAAATGGAAATTGAAATTCTGTTCTGTGAATTGACTGTAAAATAACAATAATCAGATACTGGTCAGGTTAATTAAATTACATGTGACTGAACATGCAAACAGTGGGGATTGATTTACCGCATCCTTAATTCCCTTAAAAAGCACTCTTGGACTTCTATTTCAGTGCTTTGTGTACAGAACTGTAAGCAAAGACTGATATACTTCAATAATTATCTCAGGTGAAGAACTCTGTTTTCAGGTTCTCATGTGTGAAAATACCAACCCCTTCCCAAACATACTCTCGTATCGTAATGGGTAGCATTTATTTTCTCAAATATATATACACACACACTGAGGGTTGCATTGGTCTGAATATTCCTAATTTCTTTTTATTGTTGGGCTTTTAACTATACATTTAGTTTATTTGCTTTTGGATTGTTTTTAATTTTGTTTAACTCTTGGTTTTATTATTGTTAGCTGCCATTAGTGCCATTTTTTGGTGGAAAGGAAGGATAGTGGGAAAGCTCCAGAGTGGGGTCCTCTGGAGTTTTGGAATGCAGTGCCATAAGTATGCTGATGACGCACTGTTCTATTGCCTCTTTGCATCTCTATCAGGTGAGGTTGTGGATGTAACAAATGAGCGCTCGGTTGTGCACATGGTCTGGATGAGGCTCAGGCCAGGCAAGTCTAGCCCTAGCCCTAGCCCTGTTCTGGATGAGTTTGCACTCCCACTGAAGAAACAAGTTCATAGTTTTGGTTTCATTTTTGTCACTGGAGCTCCCATGGCCTCAGTGGCACAGAATGCCTTATACCATCTTTTATCCCTGTCTGGACAGGGATAACTTGGCTTCAGCAATTTATGTCCCGGTAACCTCCAGGTTAGACCACGGCTGTGCACTCTATGTTGAAGACTATTCAGAAGCATCAGCCTGTGCAAAATGCAACAGCCAGATTGCAACCTCAAGAGGTGAACTTATAAGACCAATCCTGGCTCATGTGCATTGCCTGCTGGTCTGATTCTGACTCAAGGTGCCAGTTTTAACTTAGAAAACCCTTTGTGGCTTTGAACCACAAGTCCTGATGGAACACTGTTCCAACCTGAATCTGTCTGGACACCATGATGTACCTCTGGGGCCTTCCTCAGAGTGCCACCTCCAAAGAAGTCTTTGATGGTGGCAACAAGGGAGAAGTCCTTCTCAGTAGTGACTCCCCAGTTATGGAATGGTCTGTCTGCTGAGGCCCACTTGGCACCAATTCTGTCTTTTTGGCACCAGACATTTAAAGGCAGGTGGTGGAACATATTAGTTGCTTTAAAATGCCTAGGGTTTTTTTTATTGTAATTGGCTAAGTTGTTGAAGGGCGCAACCCTATTGCCTCTGTGGCAGATGCATATTAACCTCTGAACTGGATACAAACAACAGGGGAAAGCTTTCAGGGTATGCTTTCAGAATTTCCAGGGACATGGCTTTTGCTGCCTACCCACTACTGGAGAGAATTCTGGTGGTCAGATGTAGCAAGACCTTTAACTCATTTTTTCAGTCTTCCCTCCCTTCCTTCCTCCCTCCGTTCCTATAGCAGAGCGACCATTGCATAAATATCAATACTGAATAAATCTCCAAAATCTTACAAAAGATTATCAGTTTTGACTATTGCTCAGGGTTTAAAATATTCAGTTTCAAAATAGGTCCACTAACTAGGAGAGGTTGACACAGTTATGTGATGCAGAGGTTCATCTTGATCTGTTATGCCCTAACCTGCATGGAGCCGGAGCACTTGAAGGAACATCTCCTCCCATTAAGTCAACTTAAATTCAGATGTGGGAGCACAAGAGAAAGAGAATATTCTTTGTGGTGGTGCCCTAGTTACATTTTCATGCAATTTACCCAGAGAATATGTTCTTATTATGCAGATAAATATGAATCATTCATTCAACTGGTCAATATGCCCCAAAATATTTGGTTCTTTTGGCTTATTTCCTCAGCACTTTGTTCCTGGCCCTTTCTTATGATTAGGAAACAGCTTCTGTGATTATGTGTTTTGCTTCTATGTTTACACTGTGCTTTTGTGTTGCTTTTTTCACCTTACATCTGGCTGATACTATTTTCTTATTAATGTCATTGGTTCAGGTATTGCAATAAATGGCCATTCCTTGTAAAAAGAGGGGTCTTATGCCTTTCAGTCTTGTGTTTTGCTTATGTTGCCAGGGCTGCCCTCAGCACCATATTTGACACAGTGGTTGATGTGCATGAAATTGACAGCAATGACTTGGTGCACTTGGCTCTGCTGAAGAGGCTGGAACTGGGTGTGACCTTTACCAAACTCCACTGCTGGACTCTTACTCAATATAGCAAATGTGTCTTCATGGATGCAGACACATTGGTAAGAGCAAGGATATTATAAAAGCCAAGCGGGAGGATTTTGCTATATGATTTGGCCACGCAATGCTATCTCGTTCGAAGGAAACTTCTTGTTGGTTGCTGTAAAATTTGAACTGAGAAGATGAAGAAATGTCAGAGAGTTTCCTGACTCCTATATCAGTTTGATAACAGATGTGCACAGCATATGTATGAGCGATGTGAACAATACCTGCTCGCTGTTGCTTCAAATATCTTCTTGCCTAGGATTATAGTAATAGTGTAGTTCTAAAACTATCAGTATATAGTATTTATACCATATATAACAGTGCAATCAGTATAGTTATAGAGTAACTATAGTTTGGATATAGAATGTTATGTCCTGTGATTGAGGTGGAAAGCTGTAAATCAGGGTGCAGAACCTCAGGCCTGGAGACCAAATTCATACACCCTGGAGTCTCAATCTTGCCTTCTGGGAGTCCTCAGAAGGCTGCACCCCCTTCTTCTTAGTCACCAATCATTGGGGAGCTCCCTGGCTTTTGTGCAGTCCTGCCTCCCCCACCACCCCAATTTGATCTGCTTGCCATGCCTCTCCCAAGGCTTAGTTATCGGCAGGAAGAACGATATGATGAACTATAATATCATCATATTTTGGTCCCTGCCCCTTTTGCTCTTCGCCCCACCCACCACTGAGTGCAGCCTCTGAAAAGTTCTATAGACTGGAATTTGGTCCTTGGCTACAAAAGGTTCTGCAGTTCTACCAGAAATACTTAGCAATCCTGTAAAACACAGAAGAGCATATCTCATCATTTGGGAAGAGAAGAACATAGCACATGGATACTGAGAGCAGAGATGAATGGGGTTTAGCAGATGGTGGGAGGTAACCTAGTGAGTTGTCCAGTGAAGAGTCCCAGTTCCATAACATAGATATAATTCAGACTTATCATGTCCCTAGGTACTATGCAATATCGATGAGCTGTTTGACCGGGAGGAATTTTCAGCAGCTCCAGATCCTGGCTGGCCAGACTGCTTTAACAGTGGTGTCTTTGTTTTCCAACCTTCTTTGAAAACCTTCAACCTCCTGCTGCAGTTTGCAAATGAACATGGTAGCTTTGATGGTGAGTTCTCTAGAGCTGGTCCTCTTCCTGTCTCTGTGAGAGTGAGGTTTACATCAATGAATGTGAACTTTTCATGCAGTGCTGTAAGCATTGAAGGAAAATCCCTACCCCTTCTAAGGCTGAAGCAAGATATTGTAACAAAGAATCAAGGAGAAGTTGCTGATATATATTGATATACATTGTAGCTGATATATGGTTATAGTACAGTGTCTTGCAGAAGAATTCATGCCCCACTCTCTTGTATTACAGCCTAGGACTGAAACTGATTTAAATGACCTTGCTACTACTTAATGTAGGCAAGATACTTGACACTGTGAAGCTGCATTTAAAATAAATTGCCAGAAAAGTAAAGTAAAACAAACTGCTCCTTGTTGGTTGCAGAAGCACTGGAGTCGTGCATTGAGCAGGGAGTTGGAGATAATGGCCTTACTGGTTCCTTCCAACTCCACTATTTTGTGATTCACCCTCCCCAAATTGGCGCTTGTTAAATTTGGCAGGAAATACAGATGCGAGTCTTCTTGTGTTAGTCTCTATCACCTCTGTGCCTCTGGATCCTGCCAGGCTCACCCAGTCTTCCTGGCCAAAGCGCTGCAGCCCTGTCTGATTGGATGAAGATCATAGGTAAGCAGCAATTTTCGGGTCTTGCTACAGATTCTCAAATCAGACTGAGGTCTGGGCTGTGCTGGGTTATTCTAAGGCATCCAGGTTACTCTTTTTAAATGTATCTGGTCCTTCTTTGGCTGTGTATTTGGGGTTATTATCCTACTGGAAGGTGAACCTCTGCCCTAGTCCCAGGTCACTTGCAATCTGCAATAGTTTTTAATCCTAATTTCCATCCATCTTGCCCTCAGTCTTGACCAGTTTCCTAATCCCTACCAAAGAAAAGCATCCCCCCAGCTTGATGCTGCTCCTAGCATGCTTCATTTAGTGGTTTGCAGTGAAGACAAAATGAAACATTATCAGATTGGAGACCCCTTTTCCACATGTTTGCTGTGTCTCCCATATGCTTGCACAAACTCCAAACAGGTAATTATACAGGTTTGTTTCAGCAACAGCTCTATTCTCAGCCTTCTTCCATAATGCCCAGCTGTGTGGAGCATTGGGATGATATCTTCTCCCCACAGACTATTTCAGGCATTTCTGTTGCAGATCTCTCCACCTCATTTAGAGTTACCATTAGCTTCATGGTTGCTTCCCTGGCGACTGCTCCTCCTCACCTCATCCCTGAGTTTTAATGGATATGTAGGCAAAGTCATGGCGGAACCATATTCTTTCCATTTTGTAATAATAGAGCTAATAGTTCTCTGAGGGATTATCGTTTGGGATTTTTTTTTTTTTAAACACAAGCTTTTGGTACTTCTGCACAAATTTATTTCAGAGTTGTTGCTTCCGGATGCTGTTTGTTAAGATACCTTCTCCAACGAACTCTGGGGCCTTCCACAAGCAGATGTATTTAATCTGAGATCATGAGGCACTGGAATTGCACACAGGTGGACTCTGATCAACCACTTACTGGAGACAGTGAATCCCACCAGAGCTAGGCATGTCACAGGAAAGGTGGGAATTCTTAAGCAACCAACAAGTGCCTGTTTAGTATTGTTTGCTTAAATTTTGCGCCACAGTCAAAATATTGTATATCCTCACAGTGTTGAGTATCTTGTGCATTTCATCTGGTAACAATGCCAACAAAATTCATTTCAATACAAAACATGGAAAAGTCAAGGGGGTGGTGCTGAATACTTCTGCAAGACACCATATATAAAAATTCCCTCATCTTTTCTGTATCTTCTAGCACAATGTAGCTTTTGTTCAGGTGTTGGCCCTTGTCTCCTCTTTCTGCCACTTCATAGCACTGGCTATTTCTTCCTTGGGTTTGGAAGTATGGTAACAATAATCGCACATTTGGATATTCCATCAAGGATGCAGAGCCTTTTTCAGTCCGAGAACTGAATTCCATTTTTTGAGAGGCTCTTGGGAGCTGCCTTCTAGAGGTGGGAATAGCCAAAAGCAAAAGAAACAGTCTTCAAAATATCAGTATATTTAGCTTAAATCTCTCTTATTTCTGGTAAATAAATTTTGGTTGGATTATGTAAACCTTTTAATGTGGGACTCTGTGCAAAAGCTAGGGAACAACCAAACAAGTGGTGGTTGGGGAGAAAGGACATGGGGCCAGAGGTGGCTTGAAAGCAGGATTGGGCAAACTCATGAGGAGAAGGCAGTCACTGGCTGCTAGTCTGAATGGCTACATGCTACCTTCCATATCAGAGGTGGTACGCCTGTGTACACCAGTTGCAGGGGAACATGGGCAGAAAGGTACTATGACACTGATGTCCTACATGTTGAGCTCCCACAGGCAGCCAGTTGGCCATGGTGAGCAGAATGCTCACCCAGATGGATTTTTGGTCTTATCTAGCATTGCCCTTATGGTTCCTTTGCAGCTTCCTGAAGAACTTGCTTAATTTGTATATATAATATACTGTATGGCACACATGTATGTCGCAGTTCTGAAAAAAATGGCTTTATTGTCCAGTTACATATTTTCTCTGGGTGGGAGCATGTAGCAGACTCACTGTTGACACAGTATGAGTAAAACTGAGTCTGAAGAACACACGATTCCTTCTATTGCAATCATATGAAGATTCATTCATTTGAAATGCTTACACTTTTCATATATTCTTTTAAATTCTTTAGGAGGTGATCAGGGACTGTTGAATAGTTTCTTCAACAGCTGGGCAACAAAAGACATTAACAAACACTTGCCATTTATCTATAATTTAAGCAGCAGTGCCGTCTACACCTATGCCCCTGCTTTCCAACAGTAAGTACAGAAGTTCTTATTTATCGATAATCCTTTGCTGAGTAGCTGCATTAGCCGAGTGCCAGAATCCCAGTGGCACAGTCTTTCATTGGCAAGTGGTTCTCTCCAAAAGGCAAAGGAAAAACCCCTGGTACATTTCTGTCTTCCATAGCTGTTCGTGGGAATTCTGGCTACATGGTGTGGGCTTTCTGTTTTATGACAATGAATGGATTCTGTTTCAGAAGCAAACCTGATATAGGAAATCTGTAATTAGCTGCACACCTTCTTGCTGTTAATAGATATATATGGGTCTTTAATGGGGTCATCTATTGGTTACTTCACTGAAATGTATATTTTGACCATAACAGTCATCAGGCAGTACGCAGTGTTACTCTCACATGAGCAGGAAGACTGCTAGGGTAACAAGAATCTAGCAATAGCCCAACTGGAAACCAGCTCAAACTAGCACACATGGAAGGGAAATTCACTGATATCTCCAATTCTGGAACCACTAATCTGAGGTGGTCTCCAGGAGTGCATAGTCTTCTCATTGCACTAGTGTTTGTTCACATTAGCACAGCATGTCTGGCGCTCGCAGATGTTGGACTAGGACACATCCCATGGAACCAGAAGAATGGTGCTCAAGATACTGATTGTAGAGTCACTGTAATCCAGAAGAAGCATCGGCATGCTCAAACAGCAAATCAGCTGTACACCAAACTAAAAAGGATTGCTTTGGCAAACAACCCAAAAGCAATGTAGACAGCCCATCTCGTCAACGAGAGAACCAAATCCCGTTCAGGTTTCCAACACTGAGACCTTTCATGTGTAGGCTGCTTCTACATGGACTATATGGTGGCTCTGCACAGCCCCGCTGATGGAGGGGAGATAAATGAAACTGAAGTTTTCCCAGCACCACTATGAACCAGTGGTGTTGGGCTGTGCTGTATTTTGGCTGACATCTGGCCCTGCACCTGTTTTCTTCAGCTATAGCTTCTGAAAGGGGCACTCTAAAAGGGGTTCCAAGTACCAGCAGTGTCCATTTCCTCACAACTCCATGCTTCTCCCCACAGATACAGGATGGTTTCATTTCCAGTTACTAATGAGCACTTGCAAGGAGTTTGATTCCTCCTTCCCTCTCAGCAACAGCACTGCTCAGACTGTCTGCTGCCATGTGGCTGCAGAAATGAGGGGGAAAGCACTTTATGCACTGCTTGAAGAATGAACGTAGCTGCTGGGAACTTACTTTCATGCCCTATCCCATGAAGAACAATGCTGTAGTTGCCATGAAACTGCAGAGGCGAGGTTAAGGGCACACTGCCATCAGTCAGAGAAGGTGCACCTATATAGTTGAACTACCTCCATTTCTGGAAGAACACACGAAAGGAAATTCAGCCTGGCACCCAGCTGATGCAGGGCTTTTGTTTCACACAAGGCTGCTAATTAGATGCATCTACTTTCAATTTTGTCTCATAACTGCAATCTGAGTGTTTCATGAGGAGTGTTTTCTTTCCTGTTTTTCAACTGAGTAACCTCCAGGTGACAGTGTGGTATAGCAAAACAGAGCAAATATAGAAGTAGAAAAAGCATTTTCTTTCCACCATCAGAATAATACCCACTTTTATTTCTCTAAGAACAACTTGAACAACTTTGAATAGGGAATGGCAAGTCCACAATAAATATCTTGTATAGTGAAGCTTGTAAATGTGTGTTAACCTCCGCCCCCATCTTTTACTACTGGCATCACCATACTGATCTCTTTTCTCTACCTTTTCCCATCCTTCCCTATGTGTAAGTGTTTGTGGGGGTTGGTTGGTAAGCTCTCTTATTTTCATTATTGTACAGTGCCAGCAGTGCCATTTTGTACTGGGTTTTAATCTCTGGGATCCATAGGATTATTATAATTTGTCTAAAAAGTGGCCAATAAATGAGTAATGCATTTGGATGGATACAAAAATGAAAATTACTTCCATGATGCCATCACAGAGATGGAATTTTGGCATTTAAACTGGAACTTAAAATAAATGCACTCTTAAGATGACATTGCTTTAATGTATTCTTCTTGCAGTTTTGGCAAAGATGCAAGGGTTGTCCATTTCTTGGGACCAGCAAAGCCCTGGAACTACAAATACAATCCTCAGACAAGATCAGTTGTAGAGGATGGTTCAGCCTCAGTATCTCAGAGTCAGCTCTCATTCCTTGAACTCTGGTGGATGACATACAGTTCCAGTGTACTACCATTACTGGAAAAATGGCAGAAGTCTTTTGAGTCACAGATCCAGAGAGAGGAGGTAATTGGGAAAGGGAAAGCATAATATTGTTTTGTTCTTCCTGACTTCCTGAGTTCCACTCTTCTGTTTCTCTTTGTTCCCTATGTTCCACATTATGTGTGTATGACCAACAGAGGACTTCTAAGGTATGATTTTTTGTTGTTACAGCCTAATTTCAGTGGACCTGAAAGTAAATTTGAACAAGGAGCTCCTGATATTAGCAATTCCTTGCCAAGCTCAGCAAAAGCAGAACAAATATCACAAACTGCCATAAATCCACTTGATCACACATCTGATAAAAATGTAAGCATTTTTCTCATACTGGGGTCTCTTCCTGCTAATTGTCGTAACCTTGCTTTGAACTGTTGAAGAAGCTTCTGAGTGGTATGTTGGTGGAGATTCCAGCTTCATTGGTTTCAAGTGCTTAGAGTACAATCCCCTATGAATGTTTAGATAAGAAAAAAAGTCCCACAGCTTCTGGCATCCCTCCAACCAGCCATGCTGGGAACTGAAGGACTTTTTTCCTGTCCAAACATATATAGGATTGCTTAATCAGCTTATCTTCAATTACAGTTTCCATATGAATGTGTTTAAAATCTGGTGTGGGGGAAAGGGGAAATCTCTGTGTCAAAACTATCCTGTTAAACAGGATTCTGTTTGTAAAGAACCTGCTATAAAATGACTTTCTGTTTAAAAAATGAATGACTTTGACTATTATTTATCCATTTATTGCATTTCTATACTGCCCTATAGCCCACAGAGCTCTCAGGGTGGTATACAATTTAAAACATATAAATACCGTAACATGGCTAGGCAGAGCAGAAACATTTGTGATTCAGATTTCTGCTTCTCATCTGAAGTTTGGAGATGCAAATATCTCTCGGGTGTGGAGGGATTTGTATCTTCCTCTGGGATGTAGAGCAAGCCTAGAAAACCAGTGAGTCTTAAATACCATCCTAGGTATGTTTACTAGAGATAAATCCAGTTCAGTTAAATTAAGTTAAATTAAGTTAAAATAAAAATATAGGGGGAGAAAGAGAAGGAAGAAGAAGTTGCCCTGGCCAGATCATATGTTTTAACAATTTACTTGCCAGTCCTTTTAGGACTCAGAGTAAGTCACTGTGCATATATTCTCTTTCCCACCAAAGCCACCTTAAACTTTTAATAATAGAGCGTGTTGGGATTTATCAAACTATTAACAGCCTAATGGTACTGATATCAGTAAACCAAACTTCCATGTTAAATGTGTTTAGTATTTAGAGTGACTCTTTAAGAATAAGTCGATTTTAGATGATCATCTGGAGTCCTTCATGGCATACAGTTCCTTGCAATTAAATATGTGTTTATTTACTGATTATTTAACAATACATAGAATAGGAAATTGTTTAGTGCTTGTTACACAGCTGTATTGTTTATTACATTATAATAGTGATGGATAGTCACTTGATGAAATATAAAATACATCGCTATGTCTCAACAGAAATGACTATTTGCTGATATTCTTTTAACCCAATCTTCCCCAACTTCAGTAATGATGGGAATTTGTAGTGATGGTGTATGTCCACTAGCCTAGGAAGTCACTAGATTGGAAAAGGCTGCTTTAATCTTTAGCAGTTTCTTTTGAACCTGTAAGTTACCTCAACTCTGAAGAACAGTATTTACTTCAACAAGAGTATGTATTTAGGAATCATGGACATGATTCAGGCCAGCTTTGACCTAAACTTACATTCTTTTGTAAGTGTGCAAAAGTGTGTTTTGTAAAAGGAAAATTAATAATATAATTTAAAATGGAAGCTTTGTTTTTATCATTCTGTACAGAAAGCAGTGCTCTGTTTTGAAGATAAGGTTGCAGATCCTGCTGAATCATATAGAAATCTTCAATCCATTCCTCAGCAGACTGTGAAAATGGTAAGGGCTGTTGTTATGTTATGTTATGTTATGTTTTATGTTATGTTTGTTTGCTTATTTATTTCCATTTCTATGCTGCTCCACAACCTGAAGTGTCTCTGGGTGGCTTACAAATGCTAAAACAATATAAAAAGTTGCCTTATTCTGAGTCTACTTAGAACACAGTAAATTAATAATCAGATAAATAGTTAAAACAATAGATAACATCTCATAATAAAATATACCCATGTGGACCAAATAAATGCAACTGATAAATTAACCAAAATTAAATTAAAATAAATAATCCATAACAAGATATAAAAGTATTAAATTAATTAAATCAAATCAAAGTAATCAAAAACAGTTTTCAGCTGGCAGCTAAAATAAAGAAGAGGAGGTGCCAGACAGATATTCCTGCGGAGTGAATGCCAGAGTCCAGGCACTACTGTTGAGAATGCCTCCTTCCTAGCCCTTTCCCTTTGCTCTCACTAAGGGAGGTCACATCAAGGAGGAATTCCAAAGGGAATCTAAGTGGACAGCTGGAATATATGGACAAAGGCGCTCCCTCAGGTACCCTGATCCCAAGCCACTTGGGGCTTTATATGTCAAAGACAACCCTTTCAATAGACCTGGACTGGAAAAGGGAACCAATGCAGCTGATGGAGGACTGGCGCAATATATTCTTGCCAGCCAGTCCTCATAAGCAGCTGTGCACCCTGTTCTGTATTAGCTGTAATATCCAGACTGTCACATACAGCACATTGCAGTAATCCAGGTGAGAGGGTAGCAGCGTATGGGTCACTGTGGCAAGGCTCCGTTCATCCAAGAAGGAAAGTAGCCTGTTGAGCCAATTGGCATGTTCGGCCTGTTGAGCCAATATTGATTTGTGTGTTCTGACTTTGACAATAGTGACTTTGTCTTGAGGCAACAAGCATATCTTTTAAAGCCAATCTGTGCAGGCAGGTAAACTCTATTAATTTTGGCCCATTTTTTGAAGGGAAATTTATTTGCCTTAGTGCAGCTGATGTGGAATCAAGCATGTGAGGGAATTCTCAGCTACTGAAATGGGAGAGAAGCATAGCAACTCGGGAGGTTTGTCTGCGTCATCTGCGTCATCTTTCCAGTTCAATATGGTGAGGATCACAGCCTTAGTGGAACATTTTGAAGATAGGATCCAAAATTATGGTTTGCTTACTTTCACCATGAGACACTCGGATAACTTGTGCATATCCCGTTCAAGTACTCCCATGAATGTTTGTTGAATAACCAAGCTATTCTGCTTTCTCCACTGGGTGTAGCACATGTGTTGCTCAGAATGCTGCACATTCAACTGTTTGCGGTATTAGAACATTAAAACTAGTTTTCAGGCCTAAGGACACATAAAACGTAAGTATTAAATTATTGAAGTGATACAGGTCAGGTTTCTGAGTCTACTGTTGTTTCTCATTTCTCCCAGGATGAGGCAGCCATCGCTGTTTCAGAGTTATCTGTACATGCAGAACCGGAGCAACTAAGTTCCGAAGATGAACGGAGGAAATGGGAAGAAGGCCACATTGACTATCTGGGGAAGGATGCCTTTGAAAACATTAAAAGGAAATTAGATGCCTTTCTATTATAGATATTCTTTGTGTGCTCTTATGACGACTGATCACTGTTTACATTTGCAATGGATGGGAAATTTCCTGTGCTGGACAATGCAAGCGAATGCTAAAAGCTGTGAATGCTAAATGCATCTGTACATGTATTGTGGCAGTACTGGGTCCCAAAGGATGATGCATAATAGGCTTCTGAAGCTGCCTTATTCTGAGTCAACCCATTGGTTCATCACATCCAGTACTGATTATTCTGCTTGGCCGCAACTTCCCAGCCTTGCTAACTGAAAACTTTTAACTGGAAATACCACTTTGTCTTCCTTTGTTTTAGTGGAAATTGTTCTGTATTGGGCCAGTGCTGTGTTCTTTTGGATTAATTTACTCCTTTTGGACAATTTCTATAGATGAAGATGATAAACACTTTAGCATCTCTCTCTTTGTTGTGTATTCATCCAAAAGGGGTGCTAAATTCTTTGCTAAATACATATTCTGTTTTTAATATTGACCTGCAGTGCCTCATGGAGCATTCTCATTTCCTCCTGAAATTCCTAGTTTTATATTATAGACCAAACCAAGCAAACAAACAAAATCTACATACTAGATTCTTCAGCAAGGAGAATATAAATCTTGTGAATGAAAGGTCCAAAGACTTTTAAGGCAGGGTTAATAAGCATAGCTAAGACACAATCTAGTATACATCAACATCATGTATGCAGCATCCTTTAGGGTCAACAAAACCCTGTTTTCCTCTGTCTAATATGTGTGCTTAGGCAGTACAAAAGATTGTTGGGAAGCCTGGATGAGTTTACAGACCTCCCTTTCTGTTCAGTGTGAATGAGCCATCTCCTAATGGGAAGCTCCTGTTCAACCTAGTGGCTTATTATGATGTATGTGTGTGCATATGACTGGGAAAGAGGGACAAGGCTTTGCTAAGCTTAAAGAAATATTTGTGCACACAAGCTTTTCCTCGATATAATGGACATAGTTTCCTGTTTTCAAGAATTACTGTGTATTTTTGGTGGTTGGAGAGAGTTGATTGTTTCATTTCTCACAGGATGGTTCTAGAGTTACAAAAATTCTCATTAATCTTGCCCTTGAAGAACTATCTAAAAATAAATACATTCTTTTTTTAAATTCAGGACTGAATTTAAATTTAATTTGACTCTAATTTAATTTGTAACTTAACAAATTAAAAGACCTTGTTGGTAATTAGAATGAACTTTCATTACAATGGTGCTAAATAATTTGCAATGTTTCCTAAGCTACTGTGAAGCTTTATGTGTTTGAACAGCTAGAGGAAGGCAAGCATCTGATCAGTTTTGTTTGTTCCAATCCACACTGTGTACAAGTTTCAATACATTTGGGATAGCTGGGAAAGAACTTAACTGATATTAACTTTTAGTAAGCTAGGTGTTTAATATTTATGCTTTATATCTAAATAACTGAAAGTAGTATAGATGATACATCCCTAGGGTCTTTTTGCTGCATTAGGCGATCCTTTTCAGTCTGACATTTATAAAAATGTAGTAATAGCTTAGAGAGGAATGGGCATAACAGCAAAACCTGAAAGACTCTTTTGGCACCTTAATCAGTTTTATTATGGCATAAGATTTCATGGACTAAAGTCCACTTCATCAAATGCAAGAGGGGAGAATATTCAAATATAGACAAATTGTTACTTTTAAGGTGCCACAAGACCCTTTTGCTGTAAAAATGTGCTAACATTTGATTCATTAGACTCCATTTTTCTTATTGTCCATTGGCTTTTTCCTCCAGTAGGGAAAAATGATTTTTTTTCTTTTTACTGGCTCAAGCTCCAATTCTGTATCTATTCATCTGCCTACATGTCCCTTCCTTAAATTTATCTTAGTATATTTACATAATTTACCTAGGATAATTATTTAGAAAATTTACATATGAAATGAACTACTAAAGACATTCATCCATATACCCTATAATTAGCAATATGGAACAATTACCAAAACCCCTCTTTTGTCCATCACATAATTAGGGAGGCATTAAAGTAATTTCTGCTAATTCTTACATCCTCTCTGTGCATTTTAGGTGAAGATTATATCCATGTTTTAGGCTGCAATCCTATACACAGTTACCTTGCAGTTAAAGGGTCACATTGAACATAATGGGTATGTTCAATGTGATTAACTTCAATAGGTATGAAGTCTGTGCTGTTACAACTGGAAAGGTTGTATCCCAGACTAACAGCAAGTCCCCTTAACAGTAAGTAGGAGCTCCTTTAATAGCTGCTGACCCTGTTTTACAGCCTGTGGGAAGGAGGCATTCTTCTTACCCAAACTTGCATTTTTCCATCTGTGCTCATTATATGTCATTCTGCATGGATATTTTCTCCATGGGTTTGTAAATACATAATAAAAGATACAAATCCTTCTTTTGTTCTCTATTTTTCATTTTTGTATCACTGTTCATTAATAAACATTTTATACTCTTTATTTCTAATTGTTTCTGTTTCCCTTGTATTAATTGTTTGGGGACTTGTGTTTGGCATTGATGTTATTATTGTCATTACATGCTTATACTTTTCCTCTTCTCCTCTTGCAAGGAACTCAATGGGGCTTACAAGGTTCCCTTCCTCTTCATATTATCCTCACAACAAAAGCCTGCAAAGAAGGTTAGGTTGAGAGTCTATGACTAGTCTAGTGAGCTTCATGGCTGAGTGGGGACTAGAACCCAGATCTCCTGAGTCTCAGACCTGCACTCTAGCCTCTGTACACATGGGTTCTTGGTACCAGGAATCTGTAGTGTGAAATGCTATATAGTTGATTCTGGCTGTTTCTTGGAAGAAAAGTTCAAAATTGCCTTCAAAGCATTCAAATAGAGATGATTTGAATGCTTTGAAGCGTCTGATCATGGATGAGGTTTATTAAGTCTGAGGCAGTGGGACTAGCATAATGTCATGTGCATTATATATTTTAGCTGTAGGATGTCTTTTTATATGACATGCTTTGCAATTTTTCTTGCATTTACTTGTATCAACTCTGATATGCTATACCTTATGCTGAGAGTGGCCTTAAATCAATTTTAATCTGGCTGACCATTTAATACAAAATTCACACATGTACCCCCACACCCTTTAATCAGGTATGAGGTATTGAATTTTTTGACATTTGTCTTTCTCAAATTCATGTGCACAGCTTGCATTTTCTCATAAAGCAATGGTCTCATCTGAGAATAGCCATGCGTGTAGTTGAATGGCTCATATTATACTGTTCAGGTAGGTATGTCACAGCTTAAACCAGATTGTAAATCACATGTAGATGATCTATTTCAATGTTTAGAATGACTGATGTAGGAAAGACACCATTCAGTTCAGTGCTCAGTAGGCTGCGATTTAATCTTCTCACTGGGAAGCCGGCAATTTGTCTTAGGTTCCTGACATCTTAATCTAGATAACAGCTAAATGGATATATACATAATGAAGCTACTTGAGTCCCTTCATTCTCAATGAAAATGAGTTCAAATCCAGCTACTAAGATTTAGCAATATTGAAGATCGATCTGTTATAAAAAGCTGAAGCTTGTAGCTGAAGACTTGTATACAGTTATCTGCACTTTAATCCCATGGCCCATGTATCTGTGCTACCTCATTAAAAAACAAAAAAAGACCATTCATTTCAGGGCTGAGTTTCAAGACCAGGGTTTAAAATCCACTGCCATGGCAGAATAACCACTTTCTTCATGCAAGTTGCTTGCCTATGAAAACTAAATAGAGAATCAAACTGTAGCTGGTGTGCACCATATTCAGAACTCCATTACAGAAACAACATCCAAAATTTGCTGTTTGGGCATGTGTTTTGCCTGAAGAACATTTTTCCTTAATGAGCAGTTAAATGTGCAAAATAGACCAAGTTGCAAAAAGGGAGTGACTTATGTGCTCTTCAAAGAGGTTTGAGATACATCCAGCCAACAGCTTTGCTTTTTTTGGCATGGCTAAGCATTGTCAGTATTGTGAAAAATACTCTGAAAGACGGTGTTTTTGTCCCTTGGTGCCTTTATTTCATTATTGGCCTCCACACCAGTAGCTTCCCTTGGTCTCTACCAGTTGCGGTGGCCATTGTGGCCGGATTAGGTAGAAATGCTTTTTCAGGTCTGGACTGAAAGTAGTTCCTTATCCAGAACACATTTATGCACATGTATGTTGTCCTCAGTCAGGCAGTTCATACACAAAGTAAAGAGGTATCGATGACTCTTGCTGGGCTTGTCACTCTTCACTTCTGAATTTCATCCAAGATTCACTGTCATCCTACCTGAATATTTTGTTTGAAAACTTCAGCATTTTCTCCTTTGAAAATCCACATTTTTAATGCAATTAGATTGCTAGCACAAACTAGGATGCTATGGACCCCCAGTTCTTGTTAATAGTCTGAAGGGAGCCTTATGTTTAAGACATCAGAAGTATTTATTATGAGCAAAATGATACTTTTGAACATCTGCTCAAACAATTATGGGATCACTACTACTTTCATCATCACACCAACAGAAAGGGAATGTTCCACAGCATGGCTGCAGCCACGGCTTCCATACAGTATTGTCCACATTGAGTTGCTCAGGAACAGGAGCGACTGTCTTACGATGCTCTACTACCGCTTTTTCAATATGACTTACAATAGTATTAAAAAGAGGCTCGGCTGTTGGTGATAAGGGATTGGCTTCGGAAGGATCGTGTAAGAGGTCAAAAAGCAAGGGCGGGTTGTAGTTGGTTACCATTTCTCCTGCACAACCGCAAAGCCCTTTCGTGTAACAGGCTCCAGCCCCTTCTGGTTCAAATGTTGGAGTCATATAATGCACCTTCCAGAGTGCTCCAGCTAAAAGAAAAGAAATCAGAACGATTCAATGCTCAGTCGATAATCACTGTGATGCTCGCTGTAAGTTATCTCACAAAGGAAAGAGCTTTAGACTACTTCTGTTCACTTCTGCAACCATTATCTTCCCACAGCTCTACTAGAGATTATGAATTGTTAACTGCTTTGGCTCTACAGGGTAAATCTAGAAATCCATTCTGCTCCTTCACAAATCTGTTGGCCCTAAAAATAACCATTGTGAGCAGCTGTCAACAAGAGAGAGATAGTTATGTCTTATTTTAATGTATTATCATCAGTATTTACTGCCTTATCTTCAAAGATGCCAAAAAGTTGTGTACAATTTTAAATAATAGAACTAAAATACAAGGCACAGACAAAAATAAAATAAAATAACCAGACCAAAACAAAACTACAGCATCAACATCTTAAAAGTTACATATTCGAATGCACTAAATTGATGACATGTGGGACCACCACTCACCTTAGCCAAGAATGGTACATTGCAGATGGCCTATGGTTACACACATTCTTTGGATCAAGAGAAGGTTTCTTTAAAGGTCTTAGTACTGCCTCTTTCAAGTAAGAGGAAATAAACCCCCTCTGGCAAGGTGGTATTAATCACTTCCCTTAGCTACAGTTCCGCTCCAACCTTAACTGATTTAACTAGCCAAACAGAGCAAGAGTCGAGCATGTAGGTGGTGGTGAAGTCTTCATCCCTTTAGATAACCTTTCTATATTTTTAAGATCCACAAACTGAGCAGAAACCAAAGGATGCAGACAAGCAGCAGCCAAGGTAGCACAACTGTGACCTGCCCTAATGCTGGAGTCTGTCGAGGCAAGTTTGAGTATCTTTATCCATAAAGAATGAAACAAATTGTTCACAGCAAGCAAATTGTTCTGGCTTGCCCTCTTCAGCCACCCTGGCAAAGAAAGATTCACACAGTTTGGAAAAGACTTATCTATTCTGTGCTGATGAATGGTAGCAGAAGTAACTCTGGGGAAAAAATTGATATATATATATTTTAAAAACCCTCATTTCAGTGTTTTCAACCTTAATCAATCAGGGTGTTGAACTGGTTCTATCAGGAGGGGAGGGCATGTAGGGATGTCAGTGGCCTGGGACATTTCTGTATCCCACACAGAGCAGGAAAATCCCAAGTGCATTCAGGAAACAAGCTGGATCTATCAGATACCTGGGACAGATCATTATTACCTGTCCTCCACTGTCCAAAACAGACCAGAGAGTGGTCTGTGAATGACATGGATCTCCTCCCCTCTCAGAACAGAAATTCTACCAGGGAAGAATACCAGATTGAGAGCAAGCCCGGCTGCATCTGCAGGACCAGTTAGGGCAGGTCTGCAGTTGCCATGGCTGAGCGATCTCAGCATGGATGCTGAAATTCCCCAGTACACACAAAAGCTGCTGCAGAAAACAGCAATGTGGGACTGGAGCAACTTTCACAGGCCAGTACCATTTCAGGCTTAAGTGGGCAACTAATCTGTAGTTAGTATAACATCTGATTAAGCAACAATATTGCCACACACATTTTGGTACATTTTATTCTGAAGATTTAATGTGTCAATTGTTGGTCCCACAAACCCAAAATCTACAAGTTCCTAAGAATGAATAAGAAGCACATGCCAGTTGGGTAGTTTACTTAAAGGTCTAAATCTACATTATCTCCCACATTGTTTGGCTGTATTTCATAGAGAATAGGCATAGTTTCTGCTTAATCTTTCTGGATGTTGACATTTTGAAGCCGTATGTGGGCTATATGCCCTACAATTATGCATGTGTAGGATGAATCAATTTCAGATTCTGGCATCACAAGCACTTAGTTATTCTGTTGTTATGAAATAGCACTTTTCAAAAAAACACAACAAAAGGAAACATAGAAATGCATGGTTGAGCTTGGATACTTTTGCCCTCTAGTGGAACATTTAGTCATACATATTCAGCCTCTAATTGCAGAGGCAAACAAATCTGTGGAAAGAATATATGTAAGTTTCTACATGGAAATTGGAAGATGTGTAAAAACATGCATGGTTTCCAGTTAATGTGAAATTATTGATTCCTTTGATTCCTCTTATTATATTTTAGAGCTCCAAATGTCTCAGTTTTGTTGAATCACAGAGCTGTATTGCAGAAGGAAACCTGTCCTAATGATGCATCCCTGTCCAGTGAAGACAGGCATACTCCTCCACATACAAATCTGTTGGTGATGGACAGTCATGTGCAAGCAAACAGTCTTATGCCCATTCACACAGAAGTAAATCCCACTGCTTTTGAATGGGACTTAGCCCCATAGCACTGTAGTCTTTCACACAGGTCTCTAACTAATAATGTAAGCAGGTAAAGAGCATAAGCCTCGGGGCGGTTTGTAAGCCTAGAAATTTTCTAAATAAATAAATAAATAAATAAATAACACAAAGGTACTGAATATCAGATCTGCAAACCAAATCTGACCCACCTGGGGTCCCAAGATGGACATGCCACCTATTGCAGAACCTACTTTTCCCAGAGAGCGTGATGCTAAGAGGCAGCTCTCAAATCAATTTAATAATAATAAATGCTAAAATAAACAACAAATACAAATAAATGCTCCTTTTCTTCCATCCACCAATCATTGGTGGTTTTAAACGCTTTTGTACATTGTCCATGTCCCTTGCCCCTATTCTAAATGATTGGACCAAACCTCCTAAGGCTCAACTAGTGGCAATGACAGCATTAAGCTAAAATATGCTGGTTTTAATGACCCTTTCTCTTTGCTTTTGCTCATAGCCACCTTTGCCCTTAGCCTCACCCACTACTACAATGATGCCCCAAGAGCTTCTTCAGAACTGAATTTGGTCCTTGGGCTGAAAATATTTTGACACCCTTCCTGTAATGTTGGCAACCCATGGCCAAATTGTGGTTGGGTGTAACCTGTCACTTGACTCAGTTCATGACAAGGACTCCAGGACAGAGACTTCCTTTTGCTCCCTAAGCAGGAGACAGAAGGATCACAAAGATACACAAAGGTGATCAGGTTAGATTCAGATTTAAGCTGGATCAACTATGCTGGAAGGAGAAGACTTCAACACCAGAAGCAACCCCTTCATCTCCTGAAAAATAGTACATGAACAGTCAGAGCCTTGCTGAATGTGGTAAGCTGTGTGTGGGAGGAAGAAGGGAATCTTCAAAAATTGGTCAGATGACTCTTCTGTATACAGAGCTCTTCTGCGGAAGGTCCTGGTTCCAACAATTACCTTATGTGCATTGTGGCAAGTGCATGCAAACACTTAACACTCCATTGTACATGTAGGTTTTAAAAATTCATGAGTATGTGCATCTTCCCAATGGCACAAGCCAGTCTTGCTTCTGAGCTTTCACAAGTATTTTCAAAATGGTCTGAAGCTTAGCCTAATAATCATACCTGAAATAATACTGATTTCTTAAAAGAGAAGAAAAGTGGATTTGGTTTGCATTGCGAAAGCATGGCATCCATGCAGCCCAGCCTGTAATGAATATTGATTGTGAAGCAGCCATTCTAAATGGTGCAGATTTAACTAAGAATGCCAGGTTGCTCAGATACCTCAATACGTCACAGGGAGAACATTTTAGACTTACTCTCTTTCTGGTACCAGCGCACAGCATGTAAATACACTCCACAGTAATGAAACATGAATTCATGTTCTGAGTGCTGTGCTGCTCCCAGTAGTAAAGCTATTTGGTTCTTCCCATCAATTATCCTAACAGGAAGGGAATAATACAGTGTTAAAAGTTTCATTTATTTCAATGGGTCTTGTCTAAGTAGGACGAACATCAATCTGCACATAACAATAACCCATGGCTTTTAAACCCATGATTAATGCATGGCTTGCTTGGCCAATGACAGAACAAACCATAGTCTGTTTTTCAATATCTGGGTTGAGAGAACAGCTCCCTCCTTATATTCTAACTGTTATGACAGTGCAATAGTACTGATGTGCAGAATTACTGGTTTTTGTTTTAGTGTTAACCACTGTATCATGCCAGCTCTGTAGCCTAGTGAAACAATCAATGAACTCCCCAAGGTTTGGGGTTCAAACAAAATGACAGTCTGTGTTTTAAACAACCCAGAGTTCACAACCCAACAAGATGTTATATCTTTTATTTCTGAGCTGTTCATGGTTAACAAATCATGGTTTGTTAGCATAGATATGTTCACTCATCATGACAATCCAGAATTCAGCTCATATCATGGGTTAGTGTTATGTGTGAACATAGCCACTGGAACAGAGCTCCCAACATGGTTGCACTGTTGATTTTTCTGGATGAGGTCAGTCCATATGTACAAAAGAAAGCACCCATGGACTGAAATGAACAATTCACTGCACCCACATACAGAGAGTTGTTGTTCATCAGAGGGCACATGGATGTTGGGATCTTGGGAACACTATATAAAAGCTGAGGGTTTTTTGCACCCTGGCTAAGTACAGGGGGATGGCAAATCATGCTATGAATTTAAAGTATATACTCATGAAAAAGTTGACAAACCCCATTATTTAATGATTTTGGCCAGAATTCATTTGTACCTTACAACCCATTAGTGAACAACTCAGTTAGCATGGATACTGTGACTACAAATTGTTATCAAGGCAACATATTCCAAATGGTACAAATCTATAACAATTAAAACATAAAGCCTTTTTGTAAAAAGGAGGTTAATTTTACAAGCACCTGCCTTGCTTATCGGGAAAACACATGTGAATTTTACTGGAGTGTTATTCAAAACATCTCCATGTTCTTTGGATCTATCTTTGTAGTCCACATGGAGCACTGTAGATGAAGAATAATGAAGATAATTCAGGATTGTCATGTGTCACAAAGCTACACTAGTGGATGTGAAGGCATGGAATATAGTTTTGCAAGTTTTTCTTAGCTAAAATAGAGTATATCTCAGTCTTCTTTTAGACTAGTGTCCTGTACCTGTCTTGTGGCACTGATGCCCCAGCCAAGTGAGCCACTGTGGGATAAATATCCATCAGACTTATTGGTTCATCCAGAAGAGTGTTAGCAGGAACCATTCCTGGCCATCTAACTATTCCAGGCACACGGATTCCTCCTTCCCAGCCTCCCATGCCTTTTCCACCTGCCATGGAAATGGTAAGAGAAGTGAAAAATCATGAAGCCTTCAGTTAAAGATATAATAATACGTTCCAACAGTAACTCCTGCACAGATTAGCTGCCTACTTCATTCAAAAGATTTCTAGATTCCAATGTGAATGAAAAAGGACTCCTTTTCTCACATCAAATGGTAGAGATCTAATTCCACAGGTCCAGGCTCTTACCATAAATAGGCACTCTGCCCTTTGATCGTGGCTTTCTTCATAGAAGTCTAGAGGCCCTGCCCAGTACTGCTGTTCAGTCTTTGATGATTCTGTTGTCTTTGCAGGATCCACTTGTGTAGCTGGGAATCAGCAGTTTTAATAGTAACTCCATACAGAATGGAAATGCTTGTTCCAAAACAGGATGGGTCAACAGAACTTCCTTCTGTTAGCTCTGTTGAACCATGCCCTTCAGATATAGCATTAAATCTGACATTCTGGGGTAACTGGAATAGCCCTACCTCACAATCTGTACTGCAGTTTACATATAAGTTGTAGTACCAATGCGTTCTCCTAGGAAAGTATTACAAAGTATCTACTCTAGCTGGCACGCAAATGCAGTGTACTTTTATATCCCCAGAATTGCACAAAGCAATGCAATTGGGGAAATTTTCAATACAGATCAACTTGGTCTCATTTTAAAGCTATGATTCTTAGCTAAAACCTCCAGCAAACAGAATTAAACTAGACTGAGGCAATGCTGCACTTCGAGGTGCCCTAGTTCAAAGCCATGAAGGATCTTAGAGGTCAAACCTAGTATTATTATTATTATAGCATTTCTATGCCGCCCCTTGCCGAAACCTCGGGGTGGCTTACAACATGATATAATACATTGAAATACAATAGTACATAATAAATTACCATTAAATATAAAAATACAAAGAATACATTGATTTACAAAAATAAAATTAAAATTATCAGTATAAA